GGGACTTTAGCAAGGCCTTTGACAAGGTCCCTCACGGCAGGATGATTATAAAGGTGAAGTCACATCGGATCTGCAGTGAGCTGGCAAGATGGATGTAGAACTGGCTTAGTCACAGAAGATAGATAATAACGGAGGAAGAGTGTTTTTCACATTGGAGATTTGTGACCAGTGGTGTTCCACAGGAATCAATGCTGGGACACCTGTTGTTTGTAATATATATCTAGATGATTTGGAGGAGAATGTAGATGGTCTGATTGGTAAGGTTGCACATGACACAAAGATTGGGGGAGCTACGGATAATGAGGAGGATTACCAGAGAATACGGCTAGGCCTGAGACTTGGGCAGAGAAATGGCAGATTGATCTGGACAAATATACGAAGGATTCGGAGATAGTGCCGGAATTTTTTTTTTATTCATTCACAGGATGAGGGCATCGCTGGCCAGGCCAGCATTTATTGCCCATCCCTAATTGCCCAGAGGCGGGGTTATGAGTCAACCACATTGCTATGGGTCTGGAGTCACAGGCCAGACCAGGTAAGGATGGCAGTTTCCTTCCCTATAGGACATTAGTGAACAATGGCAATGTAGAAGATATTGTTGCATGGTGGAGCAGGCTTAAGGGGCAAAATGGCCTTCTCCTGCTCCTAATCCCCATCATCCTTTGCTGCATTGGACCTTGTCAGAGATGAGGCACTGTGGGCCTCACTGACAGCAAGGACATGTCACGGGGTTCTGGTTGGCCTACAGCTAGAGAGGCAGTCAAGACAGACAATAATAAACAGCAAGCCATTTCAGACCGAAAGGAAGAGAAACTTCTTCGCTCAGAGAGGGTGGTGGATCCCAAAAGGCTTTGTCTTTCAGCGTGGTTAAGACAGTACTCGACCAGTTTCTACAAATTGAAGATATCAAGGAACATGGGCTTGATGAAAATCAGTGGCATCGAGTTAGGAAATCAGCCATGATCTCGTTGATTATTTAGTTAGGAGATCAGCCATGATATAGTTGATTATTTAGTTAGGAGATCAGCCATGATTTAGTTGATCATTGAGTTAGCAGATCAGCCATGATCTAGTTAATTATTGAGTTGGGAATCAGCCATGACCTGGTTGATTATTGAGTTGGGGCATCATGTTGAGGTTGTACAGAATGTTGGTGAGGCCTCTTCTGGAGTACTGTGTCCAGTTCTAGTCGCCCTGCTGTAGGAAGGATATTATTAAATTAGAGAGGGTTCAGAAAACATTTACCCAGGATGTTACCAGAAAACGGAGAGTTTGAGTTATAAGGATAAACTGGATAGGCTGGGACTTCTTTCACTGGAGCACAAGAGGTTGAGGGGGTGACCTTATAAAAGTTTATAAAATCATGAAGGACATCAATGAGGTTAATGACAAGGGTCTTTTCCCTAGGGTGGGGGAGTTCAAAATCAGGAGGCTTATTTTTAAGATGAGAGAAGAAAGATTAAAAAGGATTTGAGGGGCAACTTTTGACACAGAGAGTGGCTTGTGTGTAGCATGAATGGCCAGAAGGAGTGGTGGATGCAGGTACAGTTATAACATTTAAAAGTTATTTGGATAAGCACATGAATAGGAAAGGTTTGGAAGGATATGGGCCAATTGCAGGCAAATGGGACTAGTTTAGTTTGGGAACTTGGTCAGTGTGGACTGGTTGGACCGAAGGGTCTGTTTCTGTGCTGTATGACCATAAGACTCTATGAATCTATAAATGCGAGATGATGCATTTTGGGAAACCTAATGCAGGAAGGATATATACAGTAAATGGCAGAACCCTTAGAAGGATCAACATAGACAGGGATCTAGGCGTACAGGTCCACAGTTCCCAGAAAGCGGCAACACAAGTGGAAAAAATGATCAAGGAGGCATAAGGCACACTTGCCTTCATCGGTCAGGGTATAGAGTATAAAAAGTGGCAAGTCATGTTGCAGCAGTATAGAACTTTAGTTAGGCCATATTTGGAATATTGTGTACAGGTCTTGTTGCCACACTGCCAGAAGGGTGTGGAGAGGGAATAGAAATGGTTTACCAGGATGTCGCTTGGTTTGGAGAGTATTAGCTATGAGGAGAGATTGTACAAACATGTTCTGAGGAAGGATCACCGGACCCGAAACGTTAACTCTGATTTCTCTTCACAGATGCTGCCAGACCTGCTGAGCTTTTCCAGCAACTTCTGTTTTTTGTTTTGGACAGCCTTGGTTTGTTTTTACTTGAACGTCGAAGGATGAAGCACCCTGACAGAAGTTCACAAAATTATGAGAGGCATAGATTGAATGGATAGTCAGAGTCCTTTCCCCCAGGGTGGGAATGTCAATTATTAGGGGATGTAGGTTTAAGGTAAGAGGGGGTTGGTTTAAAGGAAATGTGAGAGGCAGGTCTTTTACACAGAGGGCGAATAAATGCCTGAAATGAGCTGCCAGAGGAGATGGTGGAGATGGATATGATGGCAATGTTTAAGAGGCATCTTGACAGACATATGAATAGGCAGTATATACGGACCACACAGAGACAAAAGGTTTTTAGTGTAGAAAGGCATCATATGTCAGTGCAGTCTTAGTGGGCTGAAGGGCCTCTTCCTGTGCTGTACTGCTCGTACCATTCCAGGAATCAGTCCCGTAAACCTTCATTGTAATCCCTCCGTACGATATCCTTCCTCAGGAAGGAGAAGTCTATACACCCTCCCCACTTTCCACCAACCTCACCTCTTACAATCCCTCTCCTCTTCCCTATCCATTCCCCCTGGTCCTCCCTTCTCCTTCCTCATCCCTCTACCTCTCCTCCCTACCTCCTCTCCGTCGGTGTCTTCTTCTCCCCATCTATCTCATCTCTCCTCTAATGCCACCCCCTCCACTATCCTCCCCCCTTTCCCTCCTTCCCTCTTTCATTAAGAGGAAAGACTGGATCGACTGGGCTTGTACCCACTGAGGGGGGTGTCATAGAAACATACAGAATCCCGATGGGACTGGACAGGCTAGACGCGGGAAGGATGTTCCCGAAGTTGGGGAAGTCCAGAACTAAGGGTCAGTCTAAAAATAAGGGAAAAGCCATTTAGGACTAGGATGAAAAATTTCCTGTGAACCTGTGGGATTCTCTCCCACAGGAAGCTGTTGGGGCCAATTCATTAGATATATTCCAGAGGGAGTTGGACGTGACCCTTGGGGCTCAAGGGATCAAGGGGTATGGAGAGAATGCGGGAATGGGATACTGAGATTGTACGATCGGACATGATCCTATTGAATGGTGGTGCAGGCTTGAAGGGCTGAATGGCCTACTTCTGCTCCTATTCCCTATGTGTCTATGAATTACAGTGAAGCATGTTGCATGTCTCAATGCACAGTGGGCACTGGGCTATGGTGGAGGTGCAAAGCGATTTGGATCAGTACTTTACTTTGAGTGTGCTTTTGGTTCCTGCTCCTAGGCTCCCGTCCTGGTGCCTAGCCACACGAGAGAGCAGTCCCTACAAAAAGCAGAAGCGGGTGGGGAGGGAAATATCTCTTTGGTTATGGGCTCGGATTGTAAGTGGTGGAAGTGGCGGAGAATGATATGTTGGATGCGGAGGTTAGTGGGGTGATATGTGAGGACAAGGGGGATTCTGTCTTTGTTTTTGTTGGGGGGAGGGGATGTGAGGGCGGAGATGCGGGCAACGTAAGAGATGCGGTCGAGAGCATTTTCAACCACCGAAGGGGGTAAGTTACGGTCCTTGAAAGAAGAGGACATCTGGGATGTGTGGGAGTGGAATCCCCCATCTTAGGAGCAAACATGGCAAAGGTGGAGGAATTGGGTGTAGGGGATCGCATTCTTGCAGGAAGGTGGGTGAGAGGAGGTGTAGTTAAGGTAGCTGTGGGAGTTGGTGGGCTTGAAATAAATGTCAGTTTCAAGGCGGTCACCAGAGATGCAGACAGAAAGGTCCAGGAAGGAGGGCGAGGCATCAGAGATGGTCCAGATGAATGTAAGGTTGGGGTTGAAGGTGTTAGTAAAGTTGATGAACTGTTCAAGCTCTTCGTGGGAGCACGAGGCAGTGCAGAGATAGTCATCGATGTAGCTGAGGAAGATGTGGGGTATAGTGTCAGTGTAGCAGCGGAAGAGGGACTGTTCCATGTATCCTATGAAAAGGCAGGAATAGCTTGGGCCCATGAGGGTGCCCATAGCCACCCCCTTAGTCTGTAGGAAGTGGGAGGGGTTAAAGGAGAATTTGTTAAGGGTAAGGACAGCCCGATGACCTTAACATGGAATCCACCAGTTTTAAACTCTCCCCACCCCCACACTGTGTTGTCTCTGACTCCAGCATCTGCAGTTCTTGCTATCTCACAGTATTCCAAAAGTGGTCTAACCAATGTCCTGTACAGCCACAACATGACATCCCAACGTCTATACTCAATGCGTTAACCACTACTTAGTGCCCACCTGCAAGATCTCTCCCTGGTACCTATGAGCTCCCTACCTGGTGCCCGCTGACATGATCCCTCCCAGGTGCCCCCCTACGAGGTCCCCATCTGGTGCCCGCCCAGAAGATCCATGCCTGCTGCCCACCTGCCTGTTCTCCCTGGTTTCCACACTCTGCTCTGATCTAACCAGAACTTAGTGAAAGCTTTTAAAGCGGTTCCCCTCTCTCACCCACTTCTCCATTCACATATCCATCGGCACAACTTCTGTTTTTTTTCTGACCCCTCTACTCGGGGCTAGTATGCGATGCTTCTCGTTATAAGTTCTGATTTTAACTGTAAGTCTTAACATCTGCGTGATCCCTCCTCCTTTAGATATTGGGTTCTCTTGCCATTGCTCCTTCCTCAGCCTGCAGTACATTATACTGAGGTGGTATCTTCTCCTTTATCCATCTTCTATCTGCCTCCCCCTCTCTCCCTATTTATTTCAGAATCGCCTTCCCCTCCCCCATTTCTGAAGAAGGGTCTAGGCCCGAAACGTCAGCTTTCCTGCTCCTCTGATGCTGCTTGGCCTGCTGTGTTCATCCAGCTCTACACCTTGTTATCTCAGATTCTCCAGCATCTGCAGTTCCTACTATCTCTGGTTTCTCAGCTGCTCTGTTCACTGCTCAGCGACTGGTGCATCGTAGCTTCAAATGCGTTGCCTGCTTTCAGTTTGTACAGTCACAACTCTCGACAAGTTGCTACGGAGAGAGAGAAAAAAAATCTTAGCCTTTCACACAATGTGGGGCCAGCACTGAGGTAAGTGTGAATAAAACCAAGCAAAGAGCTGCATTAAGAGGCAGAGAAAGGGAGATAGAGGCAAAGGGAGGGACGGCAGCAGAAGAGTTAGCGAGGGAGAGAGGGAAAGCAGCAAAATGAGAGACAATGGCAAAGAGAGAGAGAAGCAAAGGGAGCGAGAGGCTGGGTTGCAGAGAAAGTGGCAGAGGTTGGGAAAGCAGCAGACAGGGATGGAGACAGTGCGAGAGAGAGAGAGACAGCAGCAGAGAAAAAACATGAGTGTTGAGGAAACACAGCAGCAAAGAGAGAGAGGACGGGGAACAGGAAATGGCAGTGGAGAGAGAAAGAGAGGGCAGCAGAGAAAGAGGTCAAAAGATCATTGATTACCCTGTGCTTTGAGATTGCTCTTGGTCACCCCTGGTAAGCTCCCTGCCCACTGCCTAGCACACTGTGGCTGAGAGAGAGAGAGAGAGAGAGAGAGTGACAGAGAGTGTGACAGACAGTGTGACAAATAGTTTGGCAGACAGGGAGTGTGGCAGAGAGAGAATGCGACAGAGACAGAAAGTGACAGAGAGAGAAAGTGACAGAGAGAGCGTGGAACACAGAGAGAGTGTGGCAGAGAGAGAGAGAGGGTGGCATAGAGAGAGAGAGGGTGGCAGAAAGAGCACACAACAGATTTTGAATGATGAGATAATCTTTGAGAAGAGGCCTCTCCTTGTCCTGCTGTGCACCTGGATCATTCCTGGATTGGCCAAATTGGTCCAGATCTGTTTGGGTCCAAATCTGAGGACGGGTCCCGAAACCTTAATTCTGCTTTGTCTCCACAGCTGTTGCTAGAGCTGCTGAGCTTTTCCAGCAACTTCTGTTTTTGTTTCTGATTTCCAGCATCTACAGTTCTATGCTTTCTTTTACTGAGTCCAGCTGAGTGGGCTAGAACTGTCTTTTTACCCCGCCTCGAATTGGTGCGTCCATTCATTGAAAGACCTGTATTTGCTCGAGGAGTGAGATGATGTGTTGGCCTCTCTGTAATGGGACATGAATAGATTGGAGAAAGGGCAGTGGGGGAAACTGGTAACCCACAAGCACTTTCTCTGCCTTGATTATAAAGCATGACCAAAAATAACCTCCATTTCTTTAGAAGTCATGAGATAGACTTGATTTGATTTGATTGATTATTGTCACATGCACCCAGGTACAGTGAAAAGTTTTGTTCTGCGTGCAGTACAGGCAGATCTTACCATACAAAGTGCGTTAGGGTAATAAAACGGAGCGAGGAATACAATGTTACGGCTGCAGAGAAGGTGCATAGAGAGTGAGGTCAATATTAAATTTAATATTTGAGAGGTCTAGTAACAGCGGGGAAGAAGCTGTTCTTGAACCTATGTGTGTATGTATGTTTAAGCTTTTATATCTTCTGCCTGATGGAAGAGGTTGGAAGAGATTATAACCGGGGGTGGGAGGGGTCTTTGATGATGTTGGCTGCCTTCCCGAGGCAGTGAGAAGTGTAGGTGGAGTCAATGGATGGAAGGTTGGGTTGTGTGATCGACTGGGCTGAGGGTGGAGCAGAGCCCTAGCTCTCGCAGTTTGGAGATGAGTTTGTTTGGAATTACGGTGTTGAAGACAGAGCTGTAGTCAGTAAGTTGGAGCCTGACGTGGGTATTCTTGTTCAAAAACAGAAGTTGATGGAAAAGCTCAGCAGGCCTGGCAGCATTTGCGAAGAAAAAAAATCAGAGTTATCGTTTCGGATCCGGTGACCCTTCCTCAGATCCTTCTGGACTTGAAACGTTAACTCTGATTTTTTTCTTCACATGTGCTGCCAGACCTGCTGAGCTTTTCCAGCAACTTCTGTTTTCTTGTTCCTGATTTACAGCAGTTCTTTCGGTTTTTAGTTAGGTATCCCTGTCATTCCAGATGTTCCAGGGATAACTGTAGGGCCAAGGAAATGGTGTCGCTGTGGACCTGTTGTGCCGGTAGGCGAATTGTAAGGGATCGAGGCAGGCTGGAGTTGATGTGGGCCATGATTCACCTCTGGAAGCACTTCATAACGATGGAGATCAGAGCCACTGGGCAGTAGACATTGAGGCATGTTGCATGCGTTTTCTTAGGTACGAGGATGACGGTGATCTTCTAGAAGCAGCTGGGGACTTCAAATTGCAGCAAGGAGAGGTTAAAGATATCAGCGAATACTCCTGGCCAGCTGGCACGCACAGGATAGGAGTGCATCGCCGGGGAAACCGTCCAGCCCAGCCACCTTTCGTGTGTTCACTCTCAAAAAGGCCAATCTGGTGTCTGCAGCGATGACTGCAGACGTCAGGGAGGGGAGGGTATTTTTTTGTCTGCTATTCTGTTCTGCTTTGCTTTGTGGCCAGTTATTTCGTGTAGGCCTTGCCACACATAGCAGGTGATGGCCCAGTGGTATTATCGCTGGACTGTTAATCCAGAGACCCAGATAATGTTCCAGAGACCCGGGTTCAAATCCTGCCACGGCAGATGGTGGAATTTGAATTCAATGAAAAATATCTGGAATTAAGAGTCTAATGATGACCGTGAATCCATTGTTGATTGTTGGGGAAAAACATATCTGGTTCGCTAATGTCCTTTAGGGAAGGAAACTGCCACCCTTCCCTGGCCTGGCCTACATGTGATTCCAGACCCACAGCAATGTGGTTGACTCTTAACTGCCCTATGGGCAATAAATGCTGCCCGGCCAGCAATGCTCTCATTCCATGAATGAATAAAGGAAAACAAAAAGGTGCCTGTGTGGTGAGTCTGGGTCTCTAGCTTAGCCTGGTACTGTCTTTTGGCGACTCTAATGGCCTCACAGACGCCGTATCTGGGTTTCCTGTAAAGGTCAGGGTCATCTGACTTGAAACCCCACATACCTGGACTTCAGTAGGCAGCAGACTTCCCGCGGTTGGGGTACATTTGGACTAACTTGTTTGGCACACAGTCAGCTACACACTTGCTCATGAAGTATGTAAAGGCATTGGCATTCTCCTGTAGGTTGGCCGCTGTTTTCTTGAATATGGACCAAGCAGTCCTGTAGAACACTTAGAAATCTATTGGATAAATCCATGACAGGACCATAAGAAATTGGAACAGGAGTTAGGCCATTCAGCCCCTCAAGCCCCTGCTCTGCCGTTCAGTAGGATCACGGCTTCTCTGACATTCTTCACCTTCTCTGTAGCCCTCGATTCCCCAGCTGACCAGGAATCTATTTATTACAGCCTTAAATATGCACAAGGACCCTGTCCCCATAGCTCCCTGTGGCAAGGAGTTCCAAAGACTCACAACTCCTTCAGAGACTGTACCCTCTTGTCCTAGACTCTCCCATGAGGAGAAACATGCCCTCAGCCTTTGTTAAGTCCCTTAAGAATCCAATGTGTTTAAATGAGATCACCTCTCATTCTTCTAAACTTCAGCAAGTAGACTCGTAATCTGTTCACCCTCTGCTGAGGATTATGCTAGTGAACCTTCTCTGAATGGCCTCTGATGAAATGATCTTTCCTTAAATGAGGGGACCAAAACTGGTCACAAAGATAGGCCCAGACAGTAGTCAGGATGTATAACTGAGAGGCTGAGATCAATAGCGTGAGTGCATGGAAGAGGAAGCCGGATAAAGACAGGAGGGAGAGGAGGATATGTCAATGGTTTGAACTAAACTGGGGTCCGATGGGGTTTCATGATGGGGCATGGAGCTGAATGGCTACTGCCACTCATGGGCACAGCTTTGGTTAACTCCAGGGAGCAGACAGAAGACGTATTAGTGTTTAATCTTGGTATTAGAAGTGAGAAAATGTCTGCCTCTATCCTGACAAGTCTGGGGGTATATGAAGAGCCATTTCCTGCCCCTTTTTGTGGAGCCCTGACCCTTCTGCAGGCCACAGAGCTGCAGGAGAGTTGACTTTTTTTCCACCAGTTCTTTGCACCCAGTTCCTCACCCGTTAGGGTTAGGGCGGGCCAGCTCCGAGGTAAAAGGAGCTTGGGAAAGAGATTTTAATAAAATGTTAAGCCTTCTTATTCCCCAGAACCTGGTCTCCCATTCCTCCAGGTGCTAGGCCCCATTCACCCAGTCGCAGGTCTAAACTCTCGCTAGCTTCCAATTTCACGGAAGCGTTTTCGACTCGAGTATCTGAGTCTTGCAAGCAGTTGTGCTTCTGATATCCTTGAGTGTCAGTTCCTTCCCTCTGCCTGCAATGCCCCTATTCAGCCCCCTTCCCACAGCCCAATCCTGCCCTGAGCTGGGAGCCAGTAGCACACAGTCAGGCCCAGGGCTTTGGGCTTCGATCAACTGAATGCTGTCAGCTAACTCAGACACCCACCTCTCTACAACACCACATCCTGCCAGCTATCTGCCCCTCCGCCCTTTCCTCAGCAAGCTGGGGCTCTGCGTTCTCCTTATCAACAGAAACTAACTCCAAAACAAACCAAGGCTTCAAATCTCACATCTCCCCATTTGTCTCTCTCTTTCTCGCTCTCTCGCTTTCATCTCCTTCTACCGAACACAGTCACACCAAATGATCACTACTTTCAGACCACAACATCTCTCTGCCTGTTCAGGTTTTCTCTCTCTCTCTCTCTCTCCTGCTCTGACTGTCTCTTCCCCTGTCACTCTGATCTTACTCAGAGTTTTTCTCCGTCCCCCCCATCTCTGTCCCCTCACTCTGTCTGAATGCTTCCTCCACCCCTCTTTTTCTCTCTTTCTCTCTCTCTCTTTCATTTCACAGTTATTTTCCATTTGTTTCTCTCACCACAACCTCCCACCTTTTATCTCTGTTTCCCATGGCACGGCAGCAAATCACCAAAGATCCTCAGGCAGCACCTTCCAAATCCACGACAACTTCCATCCAGAAGGACAAAGGCAGCCGATACATGGGAACACCACCCCCTGCAAGTTCCGCTCCGAGCCACTCACCATCCTGACTTGGAAATATATTGTCGTTTTCCTTCAGCGTCATGGGATCAAAATCCTGGAATTCTGTCCCTTTAGGGCACTGTGGGTCAACCTACAGTGCATGGACTGTAGGACCACCACCTTGTCGGGGGGGCTACTGTGGCCAAGCAGTGGATGGTATGCAGAATAGGAGAGGGTCTCCCACCTCCTAGGTTCTCCCTGTCTCACACTCGCCCCCCCCCAACCCCTCAGCTTCTGGGCACTCTTCTCTTCTCACTCTGGGGGGTCCCCACTTCCCAAATCCAGCATGCCCCTCCCCACCACTGCTCTAACACCAACATCATCAGTGCAGTCGCAATCAAGGGGATGGGAATCAGAAAGCCTCCCGCTCAGATCCAGAGTCAGGTAGGGCTGCCCACTCTCTCCTGCCTTGTTTAGAATTCCATAGTGTGGAAACAGGCCCTTTGGCCCAACCAGACCACACCGACCCTCGGAGCATCCCATCCAGACCCATCCCCCTATAACCCACCCAAGCTACACATCTCTGAACACTACGGGCAATTTAGCACGGCCAATCCACCTAGCCTGCACATCTTTGGACTGTGGGAGGAAACCGGAGCACCCGGAGGAAACCCATGCAGACGTGAGGAGAATGTGCAAACTCCACATAGACACCAGAGGGTGGAATTGAACCTGGGTCCCTGGCGCTGTGAGGCCACCATGCTGCCCATTGCTAACCACTGAGCCACCGTGCCGCCCATAGAGCCTTTTGCTGAGTCCATCGGGAAGGGTGCGAGCCTGAGAGGGGTGACAATTCCAGGCAGCAGGTCTGGAGGCCTGCAGGCCAAAGCCACCCCGGATACAGACAACGTTTGCCATTGTCTGCTCGGATCCGCTCTCGGTACGCAGGCTCTTGAGCATCTGAGACCAGTTCGAACCGGCTTCGGGGGCCAAAGTCAATCGAGGGAAGAGCAAGGTCATGTTCTTTGGGAACTGGGCCGACCGATCCTTCACCGTCAGCAAGGTGCTGGGAATATGGTTTGGAGGGGGAGGGGAAGTTTGAGAGGAGAATGTTGCCAAGGCGAGGGAGAAACTGGTCCTTTGGCAGCACCACTCCCTCTCCATTGCAGGTAAAATTCTGGTCATCAGGTGTGGGGCACTCTCTCTTTTGTTGTATATGGCACAGGTCTGGCCAACTCCCCAAGTCTGCATCACTGCAGTCACCCGGGCCATCTTTTATTTCATTTGGAGGTCGAAGATGGACCTTGTCCAAAGGGACACCAAGTATAAAGCTCTGGACCAAGGGGGTAGAATTTGCCTCCCTCATCCTTTGTGTGCGGCTGCATCACACTGTGCCGTAGACTCTCAGTACACAAACACCAAGCCTCACTACGTACTGAGGTTCTACCTGTCCCCAGTGTTGTAAAGGATGGGACTGGCCCCATTGCCACAGAACATTCCCAGTTAGTTGGACCAATCTGTATCACTCGTCTTTCGTGGAGAACTTTGCCAAGAAAAACACTTTTGACCACAGGTCCGTCAGGAAGCGGTCAGCAAGTAGCGTCCTCAAGATCCTATGGGAAAAGGAGAGGGTGGAGGAGAGGGTGGCATGGGGTTCCCTGAACATACTGTCAAAGCCATTTGGCAGAATGCCTCATCACCAGAGCTTCCCAACAAGCACCAAGACATCGCTTGGCTAGTGGTGAGAAGGGCCTGGGAGATCCTTCCTGCACTGCCAGATTCCCTGCGCCTATGCACTCTACCTTTGAAGCAGCTGCATGGTGCTAGAAACTGTCACTTACCTCCTTCTGTAATGTGCCTTTGCAAAGGAAGTCTGGAGAAAGATGCAATGGTTTTTGTCAAGGTTCGTCCCCAAAGCAGCTCAGTGATGTGGGACTCAGTGCTCTATGGGTTGTTCCCCAAGACGCACACAGACACAAACTGTGCCTGGAGGGCCATCAACTCGGTGAAAGTTGCTCTTTGCTCTGCCTGAAACTTCCTGGTTTTCCAGTTGAAAGACTTGACCTGGACCAGTTGTTGCAGATTGGCACATTCCAAGGTCCAGGACTTGGTGCTGAGGGAAACACTAAAGCTTGGGGCAGCCATTGCCAATGCGCAGTGGGGAAGGACCACGGTCAAGGTCTTTCTGCCTAAGTACATTGGGGTTCATTTAGATATTAAACCCTCCCAATGCCTTAAATGTCTGTAAATAGTTCCCAGTATCTAACATAATTAAGAAATGGCCTTTGGAGTAGTTATAACGATCAAGAAAGTCAAACCCCAATGATTGTTTCCTTCTCTGTTTGCAACAACTGTATAGATTGGAACTGTCTTAGTAACTATGTACATAAATATTTCCTTTTTTTTATGAATAAAGTATATTTTTGAAAAAAAACCCAAATATAAAACCATAGGATATAGGAGCAGAAG